CTAATTGTTAAATTGTTCAGTTTAACACAGGAGTTATCCTGTGTTAAACGGAACCATTATTGAAATTTACGGAAGTTGAGTGACGTCATCAAGAATGCCCTGTTCCAATTGGCGAACTAGCATACTGCGTCCTTGTGACGCAGTATGCTAGTTCGCTTGCTAGTTAACTTGCGTTCAATACTCAAGAACGCAAGTACGTTCTTGAGTTCTTGGCAAGTACGTACCCGCAAGAACAGTTGAAAGTCCGTTCTTACCGAGTTCACAAGGACGCAGTATGCTAGTTCGCCAATTGGAACAGGGCGTTCTTGATGACGTCACTCAACTAGCGTAAATTTCAATAAATTCAATTTAACACAGGATGATTCCTGTGTTAAACTGAACAATTTAACAATTGGGATTGGATAATTTTATAATTGGGACAAATATTAACAGATATCAAATATACATAATTAAGGAAAAGTAATTTCTAAGTAGAAACACCTTCAAGTTAACGGGATTAAGTTTTTTTTTATTACTGATTGAAAAAAGCTTAATAAAAAACACTTTGTACTTTGAATTGGAACAGTACTTGGGCCGCTGTCGATGACGTTTCACGAGGACGCGAGAACACAAGTACAGACAAGAACGCATATTGAGAAACGGCCAGAAGCTTCTCTGGTCCAACTGGGGTCAATTTCTGCTTATAAAAAAAATATGATTGGAAAAAGTGTTCAAGCTGAGCTAAAAGGAGTTAGCCTGTCAGTGAAGCTATGCTAGCATCTCAATGCTAAACATGTAGCAGCGAATGCTAATGTCAGCATTTCTGAAGCTCCATGAATCATCAGGAAAGCTGAATGGATAGAAAAACACTTTGATCCAATCTGATGAAGAACAGATTAAAATTATAAATATCTTTGATTTTGAGCTCCTATAGATATTTATTCAATAATTTAGCAGCAAAAAGTGGCGTTGAATTGAAAATGTTGCTGATTTTGTCGACTAAAATGAAATGTTTTGACTGAACTGTATATTTCTTCTCCCCTCTCCAGATCTGGACGTTCGTTACTTCTGGAAGTGGAGCTCGTTTGAGGATTACCTGCTCTTCTGCTTCGGCTTCGCGGCGCTCTGTGCCGTGCTCACCCTGCTGCTGCTGGACTCCGCCATGTTTGTGGAGGCGCTGGGCTCCCTGGCCGTGATGTTTGAGGCGATGCTCGCCGTGCCACAGCTGCTGCAGAACCTGCAGAACCGCTCCACCAGGGGAATGAGGTACGGCCGGCCCGACTGACTGCGATCCGCACGGCCGCAGCAGGAGGCTCAGGTTTTATCACCAACCACTAAATAATTCATTTGTCTTCACTGATTCACAGTGAATCAAGAAACTAAAATTTCTTTCTCAGAAACCTTGAAAATTACAAAACAAGCCAACAGAAAAGTATTTTAATGCAGAAATGACAGTCTGGGCTCCTGTTCCTACATCGCTGCAGCCTGAGTTTCTGCTGAGGTTCTTGAAGTCCAGATAGTTGTTGGTTCTGGTGGATCACATCTCTCTTTTGAAAATACTGGAGTAGGATTTTCTAGAAACTTATTTTCATATAGAAGAGAACTTTGGACCTCGGAGCTTCCTGAGACGGGCCTGATGTCGTTTCTGGTTCTGGAACAATCTGTTCTGGATTCAACACAATCAGCTTGTTCACTTGTGCAGCTTTTCCTTCCACTCAACCTTCCTGTAATTATCACAGAACTCTGTTTGACGTTTTTAATCTTCCAATCCATCGAGTTTTGGGATCTTTTAGCTGAAAGTCAAACAGAAATGAATCTGTGTGATATTCCTGCTCCTTTTTAAAATAAATAACTTGTTTGATATTTTAATGTTTGCTGCGACTAGATTATCACGACTGAAGCAATAAATAATTATTATTGGGAATAAAATCACAAAGCGCTCAATGCAACATTTGAAGGTGGTTTGATTTGATTCAGTCATTTAATTTCCTCGTCTCTGGTTGCGGTTCTGCCGGCCCGGTTCTCCGGTTCTGCTCTGAGCTTCATTTGGTCCCTAATGGGACAGAACCTCCTGCTGATTATCTCCATTATTTCCTCGTTATGCAGCTCATCTATCGTCAGCACAAACTGATGCAGTCGATGTTTGGGAGCAGAAATCCAGCTGTGGTTAAACAGCAGCGGCTTCATTTCATCTGCAGAATAAAAGTTCATGTTTTAAATGGAAATGTGAAGAAAATGTTTTCACTTTTCTGTTTTATAATCGAACCTCAAGACCACATGATACAAATATACATTTAAAATAATACAAACTAAATGATATTACACATGGAAAATATTATTTTACAGGTTAATCTCTTTGTCTGCTGGGGAAATGAAGATATCAAAGTTATTTTCTGTAAATTTAAAGTTTGTCTGCTGATGGTTCAAATAATTAAAATATCTCACTTAAAATCCAAATATGTTACTGGGCCTGTCATATGCATGTAATTCACATATTACCGTGAATTACGGTAATATGGTAAAGAACGTGTCTTTATTGTAGTTATTTATTGTTCTTTCCACACCGTTGATGGAAACGTTTCGGTTCCTGCGCGGGTTCTCTACAGGAACCGAAAGGTTCGGCTCGATCCGGGAAGGGAGCTTTGATTTTTATTGGGAATTGGAGTTACCATGGCGACGTAACTTTAGCAGGCCCCATTTAAATTTCTTCAGAAATTTTCTAGTATTATTTTATTTGTCATAATATGGCATTAAGAGATGAGCGTTTTTTTCTGGTAACGAAGTGTCACGAAGTAGAAATCAGACTTTTACTTTTGTGTTGAATGTCTGTTTTATACTTTATTTGCCACCAATGACAAAAAAAAACCTTTTAACTTTTCTGCAAAATTCACCAACTGCACAATTCTTAAGTAATATAATAAGATAAATGGTATTTCAAAAGAGCAGAAGAAATCTTATGTTTTTGAACAATAATATTTGTTGTTAATCTGTTGCTAAGAGACGAGCAGTAAACATCTGATTTTTATTTTTGCAAAAGTAAGAAGGCAGCGCATTAGCATTAGCATCAGCACAAATATTGGCAGTAGCCTTTTCTCTAAAATAAGCTTTTTAGCTCCTCTCTTTTATTTCTTAGCCATGTTTAGACACTGAATGGAGGGAGACAACATGCTAGTCATGCTCTACGTGCCACTGGCAGCATGTAGGCTAACATTAGCATTTTGCCTACTTTTAGCTTTGACACTAATTTGATGAAAAGTTTTTGCAGAGTTGAGGAACTTATTTCTAATTTTTAGCTTTTCCATCAACCTTTACAAATCTGATTAATCAAATTATATAAAAGCTGCTGCAAACGGAAAGAGACGCCATGTTTACATGTCTGCCTCTTTACCTCCTCAGGTCAGGCTCAGGGCCCCTCGTGTTTCCTCTGAATTTAATTCCTGCTCACATTTTTCACAGAGGAACCGAGCGAAGCGTTGCTTTCAGGCCGACTCTCTGCTCTCCCAGTAATTTAACAAACTGAAAATGTCCTCAGGGTGTGCAGATGTTCTGATGACTGAAGATTAAACACGTAGTAACACTTTATCAGCCTCTCTGCGTGACGGACGACGAGCTGCAGAACATCATTTCTCTCTTTTCCACACATTTACTCCAACATTAATCAAAGGCGACACAAATGTTCCTGGAGATCAAACGGACTGCTGCAAATTTTATTAAAAAACATAACTTAATAACCTCCTCTGATGGGCTGCAATATTTAACCTGGATGTTTTCAACATCAGAGACTTTTCCTTTTCTTTTTATAAAAATGAACTTGTTTAGTTGCAGTCCTGCTAGTTTTTACAGTGACTGCTGCAATATGTGATGAGAAAACACTCGCCTTCCCTGGGAACCTGTATGCTCACATAAAGTCAGCCATGTCCAATTACACACAGTGTGATTACCAACGCCGCGCTGCTATTGACTTTTTCTGTAAGTGCTCTTGGATTCAGTCACTCGGGGGAAATCAGGCGGCAGCAGAGGTGAGACAGGATGGAGAGCAGAAGGACATGGCTGTGAAAAGGATGACACCTGCAGCACCTGGACCATGTCTATAAACGCCTCGGTGTGACGTTAACTCACTGCTGTGTGGAAATGTTTGCTGTATTTTTCTGCTTCCATGCAGCATTAATCAGCTCACAGTGGAGTTCCCAAACACTGAACTCATTAACATAAGAGTTAGAGTCCAATAAAGCGTACAGCTGCTTTAATTAAAACAATGAGGGAAATAAGCACACAATCAGAAACTGTTGATCTGCACAAAGTTGGACATGAAACCTCAGAGGGATTTGATGTTTACTAAAGTACAGCCTGTTAATTCTCCGGGCTTTAATGACTCCACAGAAACCCCACACAGGTGCTTTATTGCCCCAGAGCGAGGGGTAAAAGCTTAAAGTACAGATGTTTAAAAACTCCAGTTTGTGAGTTAATTCATGGCAGGATCCCAGAGGAAGCATCAGTTTAAAACTTGATGCTGATATAATGTTTCATAAACTGAGAGAAGATGAAGCAGGAAGAACTGAAAACACCACTGAGGTCAAATCGGATGTAATCATGTTTTCTGTCCCCATTGTTGAGAATGAAAATCCTGATCGATGAATCATAATTTGTATTGACACACGGAGCATAAAATCAGCCAAGAAAAGCATTCAGACTTTACTTATTTTATTAACTTTCAGCGCTGAAAGGAGACACTTTACCATTACATCCGAGAAGAGTTTCTAAAAAAAGTCTGTGCAGCGTCTGAGGAGAAAGAGGAGGGCAGCTGATTATATGGACTGAAGACGCTCCCTGAAATCACACCATGTCTCTGTGGCCTGATAAGTTTCTGTTTCTCGTGAGAAATGGACCTTGGTGTCTAACAGAATCAAAAATGTAACCCTTTACTGTGGGCCCTTTGTCTAACAGCGTGTGACTCTTTCTCGACCTGGTAAATCGTCTCAACACCATCCAAGCTGGTTGGATGATAATATTTATCATTTTAAAAATATAATCACAAAATCTAAATAAATGCATTCAAATCTCTCAAGTATTTAAAAGATCAGGCATTGTTGACATATAATCCTGATGTCTGGATTTTATCCAAGCGGTTTATAAAAATCTGAATATTTTATGAAAAATTGGACAAAATGATTGAAAATATCAGCAGCAGTCCAACACTGAGTACTCCGATGCTGAGCTACCTTCTGCTAATGCACATTAGCATTTTTGATAACTTTGAAAACGCTTAGCACACTTAATTTAAATTAGATTTTATGGATAATTTCTGAAGCAATAATTTACTCAGCTGTTTGTTAAACTGTCAGTAGAATAAAGTTTTGGTTATCTGTGATCAAAGCAGTAAGACATTTATATTCATGCTTTTATTTTGAAGTGGATTAAGACTTTTTTACAACAAACAAATGAGGAATACAGAATAAAACACTGGAATGAAAAAACCAGGGCTGATAATAAAACAAATAATGTTTTATTGACACTTGGTTAAAGTTAGCGCTGCAGCATTAGCTTCAGCCAAATTAGCTGAACTGATGTTTATGGTTGGTGCTTTAGGGTTAGCGCAGCTAACGTGTTAGCTAGTGGTGCCCACTGCCGACAACAACAAAATCATTTCTAAGTTTACTTTAAATTAAAATGTGAGTAAAGCACATCTAGAAGTGTATTTTACTTTTATACTTTTCTAAAACTATCCATCTATACATGCAGGGTCAGAGGTCAGGGTGGCTGGTGCCCATTGCCAAATCAAACGGTGAACCTTTCTGGCAGGAAGCTTCACTCAGAGTGGTTGTGTGTAAAAGGAAGCTGGTATGATTCATCCGAGGTGTTTTTAAATCAAACGTCACTCAGGTGAATCAGCAGCTAAAAGGTTAAGTTGGTTTGTTTTAGTGATCGCCTCGTTCTCTCCTGATCCACCGGAGGTTTGTTTTCTGCTTCGCTTCCAGCTCTGCCCCAACATGGCCGCAGCGGTGGCGCCACTGCTGCGTTTCCACTCTGACATGTCTGAGCAGGACCGGTCCTGCTGGGCTCACAGCCAGCCGGTTTGGCCCGGCCCGGCCCGGTCCGGTCCGGCTGTGTTTCCAGGTCAAGGTCACACCCTTCCAGCTGCTGTGTTTCCGTGGCAGCAGCCATCAGCCTCCACCTTTTCAGGGTTGGCCCTTGGGGATGCAGCCTCTCTGCTAACCTGGAAGTAATGTGTGACCTTTGAACCCGAGCCGAGTCCCAGTGGGGCCTCTGAGTCTGGGCTGCTTCAGCTGTGGAGGCTGTCAGCGTTTTCTGAACCAAATTATCTGACAGCCGAACTAACAGGAGATATTTAACAGCCACTGCAGATAAAAACGTTTTAATAAACGCAGAACTCAGATTAATATGAAACGTGTTTCTCTGCATAAACAATGAAACGCTGCAGAAGTCGGGACTAAAACTGAGCTCACATATTTCTGTTTGTGTAATTTTTATGATATTTAACTGCACGCATGTGAACCCACCCGAGGCGTTTTGCCTTGAGCAGATAACAGCTGCGTCTTAATTAATCCTGTGAATAAGAAGAAAAACTCTTTTTGCCCAACAGAATATTTCTGCGGTTCTTTTAAGATTAGTTGAACAAAGGAAGGAAGTCAAGCTGTCAGATTCCTGCTGCTGTTATTCATTGTCCTTCATTTTTATTTCAGACTTTCATCAATTTATTTTGCATGCTGCTCCTTCAAATATATTTAGTCAAATTATTCTCTATTCTTTATTTGTAACACGTCAGACTAAACCTTAAACATTGAAATATCATCTGTAGTCTTAACTGGTTTCTACACAATGATTCATTCATATTAATCTTCATAATTTCCACATGCAGAACATTTTATCTAATGAACACAATCAGTGCAGAATTATGACTTTATATGACCAGGTTAAAGTTTCATGATGTAGCCTGTTGTTGTTATATTAGTTGACAGCCTTCCATACTGTCCTGTTGTTAAAGTTCAGTCAGAATTGGTTCATAAAGTATTTATTTGTTCCATATCATGCAGCCCATCATATTTAAATAACCTGGAGCGTTCTCCGTGTTCGCCTCGTTTTGTGTGGATCTCCTCTGTCAGGTTGGGAACTTTTGGCTGTGCGATCGATCAACATGCATAATTCATAGTCAGTGGGTTAAGAGCAGCTCGGCTTCTCGAGCTGCGCTTTGAGTTTCCTCTCTGCCGCCTGCTGCAGCACCGAGCCACGCACGGCTCCGTGCACCGCGCTGACGTGTGGGCGCTCGCAGCCGGCGTGGACACACACCTCACCCAGCGTGTGTGTGTGTGTGTTTGTTTGTGTTTGGGTCGGACGGTTCTGAAGCGCTTGGTGCTTTAGCAGTTTTCCATCAGTGACATCTGTAAGCGTCCCGGTCGGCCTGGTCCTCCTGCAGACTCTTCAGCTCCATGATGTTTGGGATCCTGGGAGTTTTTGTCGTCGCAGCAGATCAGCTAAATGTTCCCACTGATCAGAGAAACGTCTCAGATTTTACTGGAGCATCTAAACCAGCAACACAAAGCGGATCGTCTCAGTTTGTTTAACCGTCAGGCAGAAGATAAATAGATGCATTGTTCAGAAAACACTGGATAATTTATCTGACTTCAGGAAAAAATGCTTCTTGCTTTGCAGAAAAACTAACTCAGGAGTTTAATCCAGCTTTAATAAAGAATATTTCTAGTCTGAATCACGAGCAGATTATTAAATATTCATCCAGTTTACAGGAATGATGGCATTGTTTCTGAGCGAAGGCGTCTGGATCCATCATGTTGTCTTTCTGTTTGACCGTCAGCAGCAGAGCAGACGGAGGAGTTCGTCCTCCTCCTCCAAACGCTGCAGATTTAAAATTCATTTCTTCTTTCTGACTCCAGGCTGCTTTCATTCACATCTGATGTGACAGAGATCATGTTTCTGCAACAATCAGCAGCAAAGATACAAAACATTCGACATGAAACATCTGAGCTGTAAGATCTCAGATGTTCTGATGAAATGTCTCAGGCTGAGCTCAGTCTCAGGCTGACACTTCATTCTTTCTGACTTCATGCATTTATCATATTTATTTGTGTTATGATTAAAATTATTAAATTTAAATTATTAAATCTGTCAGAATTTCTTAAAAATATGTTACTAAAAAAAAAAAATGCAACAGAACCAACTGGTCTGGACCAGAACAGGAACCAAACAGTCAGATCAGCACTGCAACGTTTTAACTCAAGTAAAAGTAAAACATAGTTATTAAAAAACACAGCTCTGATCACGGTCAAGGTCAGGGGTCAGGGTCAAGGTCAGGATCGGGGTCAGGATCAAGGTCAGGATCGGGGTCAGGATCAAGGTCAGGGGTCAGGGTCAGGGTTTCCTCCGCTCAGACCAAACTAATCGATCCAGATCCGACCAGCTCCCTGATTGGCCATCTGGCTGTGATGGTCTGAGTTTTCTGGTCTCTGATTGGTCGGGCAGCCGGTCCAGATGTTCGGTCTGAACTGAGCGTCGCGGCGCTCTGCAGCGGAACCAGCTTTCTGTCGGCACTAATGACCTTAAACTGGAGCGTCCTCCCGACCCGTTAATGATCCAGCTTCCTGTCTCCAGAGCAGCAGTTTGCTCAGGGCGAAGGGCAGAGAGGAGCAGCTCTGCAGTTTCCCCCGGTGGACGGTAAGCCTGCTGGGCCAACATTCACATGCAGTCTGTCTCTGACTCGGTGCTGATCAGGCCACAGGGTCCGTTTGGGTTCGTCTCCACCTGCAGGGATATAATCCCTCTACGAACAGAGAAATCTGCAACAAGGTGGCATCAAAAATAAAAACCTCACTGCTTCATCGACTCGACACGATATTTAAAATGTAAAATATTTGTTATAACATGAGAAAAACGTTGTTACAACTGAGATGATCTGCCAATGGAACTAAAACTTAACCAATATTAAGGATTTATTCACATAAAACTTCCATTTCTTGCTGAAAAGTGACTTATTAGATACTTTTGTTTTGCGTGAGCTCAGATATTCCCACCATAACCCAGTCAGCATCTGGTGACGTTTGTTTTTGCTTTTAATGAATGGATAACATGCTGTGGATGTTTCTCTGCAGTGTGAAGATGGTTCTGCTCTGGACGGCGGGCGACGCCTTCAAGACGGCGTACTTCGTGATGAACGAAAGCCCGGCCCAGTTCTGGGTGTGCGGTTCGGTCCAGATCCTGCTGGACGCCGCCATCCTGCTGCAGGTTCTGCTGTACGGCCGGGCCGGCCGGGCCAAGCTGGGCTGAGCCGGGAAACCAGGAGCCGCTGGTCCAAAACCAGGTCACATTTTAGAAGCTTGAAAACCAAAGAAAATGTTTTTAGTGGTGAAACCAAAAACACAAAACCTCCTCAAACAAACTACAGATCTGCATTATTCACTTTTTCTACTATTTATTGGAACTTCGAGGATTAAAGGAAACCTGGAGGGGAACGTCCAGCAGACGTCCAGCAGGAACCAGTGGGACCAGTGGAACCACTGGTTCCTTAGAGGAACCAGAGCGTGGTCCAAACGTCTGACTGATGCGTCATCTGGACGGTTCTTGTAGCATGTTGATGGTTCTGTTTGCTGTTTGGGTCGGGTGAAGGTTCGTTCGTCTGCGGCTCAAAGTTCAGAGAATAATTCAGGGTTTTTATAACAATCGCTGAATATTTAACATTATTTTTAGGTCCAGGATTTCTATTTTTATAATAAATTTAAACGTTCTTTAATCTTTGTGGCATTGATCTTTTTCTGTTTTAATATTTCATAATTTTTACAGCTTGAAAGAGAATTTGGACAAAGTTTAAAGGAGCCAGTCCAGCTGAGTTTAAACTGAGACAACAGGGTTAGGAGCGTTTTTTCCAAAATAAACAAAAGAAGATAATTTGAAAGGAAACCAAAACATTTTTTGAGGTAGAGTTGAGAAACTGCAACACAAAAATAATATAAAATTTTAGAGAATCTGAAGCTAAAGTATCAATCTGATACTGACTTGGCATCAGCAGTATTGATATTTTGGATCGATCAGATCACCTTCTTGTTCTGCGGATCGTAAACAGTTTTGATCAACCGAGACAGAAAACCGTCGCTGAGCTTCGTGTGAACGCAGCCGACCTGTGAAAACCAGAGCAGCAGTGGAAAATGTTCAGCCATGGTTAAAATAAATATCTAGCATGTCGTCTTCATCTCTGTGGCTTTTCTGTTATATTAAAGTGAATATATTTAATAAATAATGCTGATGGTTTTCTAAACCAGTGTTTTTCAACCTTTTTTGAGTGAAGCTACATTATTTTAATTGAAAAGATCTCGAGGCACACCACCAACCAAAAATGTAAACAAAGATACTCTGTAGTCGCCTATATTATATATATAGTCATTCTTATCAAAGTGTCTTGAATAGGAATCAAACACAAAAATGTATTTTGATCATATTTTACATTTCTTATATCAAATTGCACTTAATGTGGTCTTAAATTTACAGAAGTTGTAGACAACTTCAGTGTTTTACAAACTAATCCACAAGCATTATTTAAACTGGAATACAGAAAATAATTCTTATTCTGAAAGAAGCAATAATATTTGGGAAAGATTTCACTGTTACAATATGAAGATTTGCATGTACAAAATGTCAATATCTGTATATTTGACCTATTTAGTGTGAAACCTGTGCATGTTTGGATGAAAACAGCTGATTTACTGGCAGAAATTGAAGAAAGACAAAGCTCTTCCTCAGCAGCTCTCAGTCTCTCTGGTTTTAGTTTTTATAGTAGCCAGGCTTGAGAAGCTCACTTCACACAGACATGATGTGGGAAATGTACCTATGTTCTTTCCAACTACTGCTGAGCTTCACTGTCTTTTCCATCACTGTCGTCACAGTCTTGCTAGATACGATGCTTTCACCGCTACCTGTAACATTCATGCATCACTAATTCTCTTGTTTTAATGTAAAATGCTCTGTACCTACTGCCATCTAGTGGTAAGAAAATTACATGATTACGCCGCTGGTCACTGCTACAGCAGAGACACTTGAAGACGGCATTATTTGCAGATAATTAATTGATTTTCAAAAAATCTTTTAAGACCAATTACTGTATTTTCCAGACTGTGAGCCGCACCTTCAAATAAAACAAACAAAAAACTGGAAACCGCACCGGGTTATAAGCAGCTGGTATCTCTGCTGCTCTCGGTTTTCCATAAGGACCCAGCAGAGGGCAGCGTCCTAATAAATCTGCTGGATGTATTAAGGACGCAGTCCTCTGAATCATAGTTTCGTTCACACAGAGTTTACGTGCAGCGGCTCTATTTCATCCTGTCCTGCCAGATCAATACTCCTCAACTTAAAAGCTGCATCATATGAGTTTGAGAACATTTCTCATTCGTGCCTGCTGCTAGCATGTGCTTGTTCTAAATGAAAATTAGCGCGTTCTTCTTTGATTTACAATTTTGACTTCGAATGATTCACTTCCTGCTAGAGAGCCCCCTGGTGGTTGAAGAAAAAGCCGCCCAGGGCTAAGCCGCATGGTTCAAAGCTTAGGGGAAAAGTAGCGGCTTGTAGTCTGGAAAATACGGTACCGTTGGTGAAATTGGATAATTTCCACGGCACAGTGGTTGAAAAACACTGTTCTAAACCATATTATATTATATTATAGATTTAAATAATTGAAGAGTTGAAGAACGTGGCAGCACAACGACAGGAAACTGAGACATTAATGTTTTAATCGCCTTTCCTGTTTGTTTCCACGGTAACCACTCTGAAGCTTTAGCATCTGAGTTACCTAGATCTATATCCCTGTGGGCGCTAAAGGCAGAAACATCCATCCAGCTGCACAATAATATATTAATCATAAATTCAGGATGTTCAGCTCCGATTTTCTATCATGAGACGATTTTTATATTTATCAACTGAAAAAAGAACCGATGAAAATGTAAAATGAGGTTAAAGTTTATATCTGATGGGTCATAAATTAGACGGGTTTGATGGATTCAGTCGCTGATCAAACGAGAATCAGCTGTGTGTTTCTGATGCCTTCAGCTCATAAAGATGATTTATTTTTATTAACTTTCTCGTCTTTTGGTCTGAACCTGTAAACTGAACGTCAGATTTATCAGCCAGCAGTTTATTTTTCTCTTGATGAAAACAGTTAAATATTTCTGAGGTGAATAAAACTAAAATGTGTTTAAATCTGTGTGTGTGTGGAGTGTTTTTATCCTGGTGTGTCTGCGTGTGTGTGTGTGTGTGTCTGTGTGCGTTTGTTTGTAATACCTTCTGGGGACGATTTTCCTGACATATACTACGTTGTGGGGACCGGAGCCTGGTCCCCACAAGGGGAAACCCTGTTTTTGGGTCAGGGGTCACATTTAGAGCTAAGGTATGAATTGAGTTTTGGTTGGTTAGGGTTAAGTATGTGATGGTTAGGGTTAGGAAAAGGGTAAAGGTCAGGTTTAGGCTGTAGAAATGAATGGAAGTCAATGGAAAGTCCCCACAAAGATAGCAACACAAACGTGTGTGTGTGTGTGTGGAGTGTTTTCCTCCTGGTGTGTGTGTGTGTGTGTGGAGTGTTTTCCTCCTGGTGTGTGTGTGTGTGTGTGTGGGGTGTGTTTGTCTGTGTGTGTGTGTGGGGTGTTTTTCTCC